TATGCCAACAAGAGTCTTCAATAAAGGCATGTAATGTTCATTTATTATTAAAATTACTGCTTTATATTTCTTTCTCATTATTATCTGTATGTAAAACTACAGGTATTCTTTAAAAAATTTATTTTTGTTAATACTTTTGGGTGTCTGGAACGGATTAATTGGATTTACATTATTTCTTATGGGAAATATTACTTCAGTTTTTGGCCATTTTGGATTTAGGACAACCTTCTGGAACAGATTACAGCCGAAAACAGGGGTCCATTGCACTTTGCTAGTATGCCTTCTGTTCAACTGAATACAAGAAACTGCCCATTCAACTTTCAAAATTACCCATAAAGTGCACAGAATTTGGTAATTTGGCCAATTTCATGAAAAATTAAAAAAATTAAAATTAAAAAAAAAAAAAAAAAAGCACAAAATAAACACTGTACACACCCCAGGCACTAAAGCAACATTTTGTCTGTGCAAGGCTCTCCTATATCACAATTGCCTTCCATTTTTTAATCAGTAACAAAAAAAAAAAATAAAGATTTACCTTATTTCTCAGATGATAAAATACAGCCAGGAATGATGTGTCATAGTTTATGGCATCTTAATAATTGAATCAGACCTGGAGCGGGAATAACACCTCCGTGGCTACTGTCAGGGAGGCCGGAGTGGGAAGAACACAAAACCCACAAAACAGACCAGGGGTGTAGGTCTGCCATGAATATCAGAAAATTTCAAGCTACTTCTAGTCCTGGAACCAACAGAAATCTGCTCTATTTCAGTAGTATGTCTTCTATTTTATCAAATGATGTCAAGAAACAGATAATAAAGGCATCCTGGAAAATGCATCAAATTTGCTATTTTAAGCTGAACACAAAGTCAAAGTTTTGCTTTTCCCATCATGCATCACATGGGGCAATATTTCTTTTACATTTGTGCACTCAAAGCATAGACCCATTCTCTCATTTCTAGGCCAAAATTTACCACTCACAGATTATATGAGTGAGCAGAACTCATGATGTACATCTACCTGAGGAACCCTGGCATCAATAATGTAGTTCTACATGATGGCCAGTCAAAGGGATAATGATAAGTAGCAAATTTTTTATAGCTGTTGACTAATGTATGATCAAAATCTTTTACATAAATATAGTTTTCCAGTCTGTCCTACAATACATAAAAATTCATATATCATATTTTCTTACAAGAGTTTCTCACAGATAACCATCAACATTCCTTAGAAAATTCTTTGTCAGTAAGTTTCTATGACATGTAGATTTTTAAATACTTGTACAACATTGAAGTTGAAATTTGAAAAAAGGATTCTCAAGAAGGCATTCTTTGCAATTTTCGAAGATTTATCATTAAAAGTTTTGGGTACCATACTGTTGATGTAGGCTATTTCATTTATTCTTGTCCTCAATCACCACTGCAAAGCAAAAGTGTTACTAGCAAGAGACAAGTGAAGAGGATTAGCACAAGGGAAAAAGTAAAGACACATTGCAGAATGTACTTTTATTGTCAGCATTATGCTATTTGGATTCAAGAAGACAGTGAAGTGAATCATTTGCTGTAAGTAATGTACCTGAGGTTTCCCTTTATATTGCTGAGGAATTTACTGATTTTTTTTAACCTGAAACAATTGGGTTAAGCTAGAATGTGCATTTTAGACTTTCATGTCTGAAAGTATTTTTACCCAAATTTGTTTTAGTATTAATTGCAGAATAAAAGTGCTTTTATCAAATGCCAAAAGCCTAGCAGACACCTTTACTTCAATCCTTAAGAGAGCTTCACTTTAAATGTTTTGTTTTTAAATAAGAGATTATAAACCATTTTTTACTGCAACTTTTGCCTATATTATAAGCTGAAGCCAGCAACCAGGTGTCCAAACATAAGGTGTCCAAACATAAACAGTCACTGAGTCAGTAGTTGTGCATGGAACACTTGCAAGTGGCAACTGACTTGAGAGACCTTTAAGGAGTTTCAAAAAATCTAAAAAAAAAAAAAAAAAAAAAAAAAAAAAAAGTGATTTACACATATGTTTGGAATATTACAAATTAAAAGCATTTTAAACTGAATTTTTCCTGATACATGGGCAACAGGGCACAAATAACATGCTATACATCAGCTACATATTGGTAGTGGCCATGTGGTTTGCCAATGCATCAACTAGTCACATAAATATCAATGGAGTTTCACGAGGCTGTCATACAAAGCAAAACATGACTAGCCAAAATTTCAATATACACAAATAACATACGTAATTGAATCATTTCAATCATATGCACAGTATCAATATAGGCCATACTTAACGAACAACTTTATTTCTTTGTCTAGCATACAAAGTATAGCTTACCATACCATGGGTGGGGTTTGATCCCGCGGTCAGAGAGTCTCTGACCGTGGGATCAAACCCCACCCGTGGTATGGTTTGTTTGCAATCATGTCATTACGATTTCGTGAGTCAAAGTGTAGCTTACATGTAATCAAATACTGTTAAACACAAAGAAAGCCACTAGCATGCCTGTGCATTATCACAAATTACTAACACTCTAACCAAGCCTAACTTAATTATCATCTGCGGAAAATCATAAGAAAATTTCTGTAAAAAGATAAGGTTTTGTTATGTCATAAGTACATGTGTGACACTTATAGTGGCAAAGTTAATACTGTATGTTGTATTTTGATTTGTACATACGTTGGAATCCTACTTGCACAAACAAATTTAATAACATACAGTACTAACCCGAAAACGGGTTGCAACAATCTAACCAAACGTAGCCTTACATAAATAACATTTATGGAGAAATCATAAGAAAAATGAATAACCCCCTGTTGAGATATCTTTAAATGCTGCACTGCAAAAATCTATATAAAAAAAGAAGGCTGTCTGGGATCTGGACACCCCACCTGATACATGCAACCTGATACACTTCTCAACTGCTGTGTAAATAACATTTCATGAACTGTTCACTACCCAACTGCTGGCCCAATTGATGCTACCTACTTTATGCTCAACCAATATTTTTGAAAATAAAAACCTCATGCTTCAGCATGTAGACTGAATGTAAGTAAGTTTATTCAGGTATACACAAATACAGTTACAATGATTATCATACATAGCAACATATGTGTAGAGAACCTAGGATAACCCAAAAAAGTCAAGAGTGACTTATTTCCATTGCTTGTTTAATACCAAAAATCCAACTTAAAAATTTATGTTAGTACAGTAATACACTTCTAACTCAACAGAAAGTGCTCTGGCTCAATTATTTTCCTCTTGTAGGTGTGCATGGTTTACGTACACACTGTCTTTTAATAAACAAGCCTCAAAGTGTTTATGATGTGATCTTTCTACTGCGTTTAGTGGACGATTTGGTGCCCCTTGGCCTGGTGGCAAAAGCTCTCGTTTCACACGGTGAGGGTCTGGGTTCAATTCCCGGCAAAGGGGTAGAAATATTATGTTTCCTTACACCAGTTGTCTATGTTCACCCATCAATAAAATGGGTACCTAAGTGTTAGTCAACTGGTGTGGGTTGCATCCTGGAACAAAATTGACCTAATTTGCCCGAAATGCTCTGCATAACAAGTGGCTTTCTATATAGTAGTACGTATATCACTGATGTCAGCTAAGCCTGTATACCTTGTACATGTACTTGTAGTAAATAAAGATATTAGTATTAATATTATTATTATTATTGTTTTATATTCCCATGTTTGAACTTTTTATCACATTTATTGTCATTGTTGTATGTTATAGTTCATTAATTTTTACTGAAATATGGAAATAAGACACTTGGTCTGATTTTTTCGGGTTATCCTAGGTAATCTACTCATATGCTGCTATGCATGATAATTCATATATAATTGTATTTATGTGTACCTGTACCTGAATGAACTTACTAACTCAATTAAACCTAACTTCAGTAAGGTAAATTGAGAAATTGGCTATGAACCATGAGAAATTCACACAAAATTAAAGAGGAGAGGTTATGTATTTCTAGTCACATGTATGTCACTGTTTAAAAATAAATCCAATCAAACTTTTTTATTTGTTTATGAAGTTATACTTGCTGCTAATGAGTAACTTTTACCTAAATACAACAAATACATCAGAGATTCATTTTCCCCAATTGAAATTGAAAAAAAAAACATTCTTTCAAAACAAAAAAAATAATATAAAGTTAGCTCAGAAATAAGTTATGAGTAGGATTTGCCCAACATGAGCCAGTAGGCTTACCATAGTGCTACTCCACTACGTTAAGCAATAAAATAATGTTCCTAAACTGGTACTTTACCACAAACACTACTTTGATGTCTCTCAATAATGACATGTTTTACATAATGACATTTTCAATTCAATTAGTAAAATTTTCAGAATAGCATATGACAACTTTAATTAGTTTAGGTAGCTGGGTGAGCAGTTTAAGTTCAAAGATTTGTATATATAGCCTACATGTACATGATCCTAACACATTTTATTGTATTTCTCTTATTGTAACTTATACACTACATATTTTTTTATCAACTGTTTTGTATTTCTACATTAGTTAAAGTAAGCACATTGTTACTAACAGTGGTATACAGCATAACAAATTAATATTTAATTTGTTATACTGAGCTCATAAAAGACTACAGTGGAATGTGTGTTAAGTCAGTGTAGGTGGAGAGTATAATACACAGTTATTAAAGTTGTGAGTGAGTGTGTAGTGTAGTGTCAGAGGGTAGAGGAGGTTGTTACTGGCTGTGAGTCCCTCATAACTCCCGCAAATGACAATATCTCCATCTTGTTTCTTCCCACATAATTTATTCCTTAATCAGAAATGTCAAATTTCTCTATCAGGAGCTCAAGGTGGTGGTGGGGGTCGTGACAGTAGTTGTGGAAGATGCTGAGTATCAGGAAGAGTGTGCCGGGGGAGACACAGAGTGTAAAATAAGAGAAGGAGGCAGCAGAAATAAGGTGAGCTACAATATTAGCGTAAACACAGACCGGCGCTTTCGCGGGCATTTACCTTTTACTGAGAAACTTCTCTCCTGTGTGCTGGATGGTGAATAACTGAGTGCCAGGCTCTATACTGCCCGGCGGCTTGATCAGCCGGAACTGTTGGCCCTGTAACAAGGGCATCTGAGAGATCTGGTTGGGGATAATATGGTAAAAAGAGCGGGAGGAGGTGAGGTACTGCGACTGTTGTTCGAACCCACGAGCGTCCTGCACTACCTCACACTCATTATACTACCTCGCTCTACCTCACACTAGCACCTCCCAACACTCATTATCCTACAAAATATAACCCGTCATCATCAACGGAGGAGCAGGAAGCAGAAGGGAGTAATAAAGAGGAGATATGAGGGTTAGAGAAGAGAACCAAGAGAAAGTATCAACAAATAGTGATGGCGGGAAAAGTGTGATCCAGGGAGGTGAGTGTGTCAGATGAGTCACACTCTCACATTTATTATTCCAATATTACTCCTTTAAACTACTTTCCTTTATCCTCTTCGACACTTTTCAGTCTGGTGATGTTCTCCCCTTCCTTGGATCAATCATTACCGCAATACAAATAACTTGCACCCCTAAGAAAACAAGTCACTTTCACTTTTTTTTTTTTGGTGGGGGAGGAAGGTGTTATCACAGGTAATTTACACATATGTTGCTAACACATTTATAATACAAAAATCGTGTGATTGTACTTAAATAAAATTATTTACCTTCTTACTACTTACTAATCTTGCCTACTTTACTTACTTTAATTAATTTTGCTTTATTTTATTTTACGTATTAATGCAAAATAGGGTTTCAGTTGCTATTATAGATTGTTGGGATGCTGCTTCTGAAGATGGTGTAGCAACACTAGTGAAGTTATTGCTGCTCTGGTGCTCTTTATCAACACCACCAAAAGTCCCTTCGTATGCTCTGCATACGAAGGGACTTTTGGTATGTACACCTGATTATTTTATTCCTTTGTACAACCATGTATCATGTCAAAATAAAAGTATTATTATTATTAGTAGTAGTAGTAGTAGTATTAATATTATTATTATTATGGTGCTGCTGCAGGTGCAGATCTAGAAACTCTACCAGTTGAAAACCCAGCCACCACAAATCTTAGCAAACAGATATATGCAGATTTTATGCTTGTAATATCTGTATGAACATAATATCTGGAAAAACTAATGGGATATACAATTCTGACTATCCAAAAAATGCCGTGATCTCCTGACCAAAGGAGTATTTTTTTTTTACTAAGTTCGATCATGGTGTAATATAGCACACAATATGCATGCAAAAGGAATAACTATAATAGTGAGCAAATGGATTTTTAATTTTCTAACAAATAGAACGCAAAGAGTATTAACAACCAAAGTGAGAAGCTCTGCTACCCAAGGCACAGTTATCTCCCCCCATCATTTTCCTCATCCTCAATTCTGATATAAATGGAGACGTAAACCGTAGTACTGTATCCTTTGCAGATGATTCTAGAACTAGCAGAAGAGTGGCATTCATTGAAGATCACGGCATTTGTAACAGCCTGGTTGATCAAGCTTTGATCCACCATGAGCCTTGGTCACAGACCGGGCCGCGGGAGCGTTGATACCCAAAACTCTCTCCAGGTATGGTAAATCCCCAAACAAATATAAGCAAAGTCATCATGTGGGCCGCAAAAAACAATATGATGTTTACTGAGGACAGATTTCAATTACTCAGTTATGAAAAAGTTGAGGAAGTAAAAGCTCAAATGGAGTCTTAAACAAATTGTATTCATTCATTAGCGTAAAACTAACGTGAAAGATTTAGAAGCTATAATGTCAGAGGATCTCGTTTTCAGTGATCACAACAGTTATCATGACAACCCCAAAGATGACAGGATGGAAACAGGACAAATGTCTCCCGATGCAGTCATGATGACCCGCCGTTGGAGGTTTTGGGCATCTGACCGAGGCCTTCCGCTGGTTTACCGGTCCACCCCTTTAAAAATTATGGTTAAAGTTATGATCATTTAGTTACAGTATGGATAATGAGAACCTTCAAAACAAGGGATGCCAAACAAATAATGATCCTCTTTAAGTCATTTGTTCTCTCTTAGTTGGAATACTGTTGTACACTAACAGCCCCCTTTAAGGCAGGCAAAACACTTAGATCTTAAAGATCTAGGTGCTTCACTGCACGTAGAAGTTCAATGAAGCACCTTAATTGCTGGGAACGCTTGAAGTCCGTTGACTTCTACTCCTTAAAATGCAGATGAGACAGATGCATCATAATTTAACACCTGAAAAAACCTAGAGGGATTGGTCCCAAATCCGCAGACAGAAATCACTTTCTACGAAAGCAATAAACACGGCAGAGGGTGCAATATACTCCCAATGAAAAGCAGTGGTGCTATGAGTACACTAAGATACAACACAATAAGTATAAAGGGCCCAAGATTATTTAACTGCCTCTAAGCATACATAAGGGAGATTACCAATAGAAACCTAGCTGTCTTCAAGAGAGAACTAGATAAGTTCTTAAATAGTTCCACATAAGCCGGGCTGTGGTTCGTCCGTTGGACTGCATGCAGCCAGCAGTAACAGCTTTAGTTGATCAGGCCCTGATCCACCGGGAGGCCTGGTCATGGCATGGGCCGCGGGGGCGTTGACCCTCGGAACACTCTGGTAGGATCTAGAAAGAAAATTTACTTACATTACTTATTTATCTCCAGTTCCACATGTGTTAAATAATCCCTACGGATTTAACACTTCTTATTAATATAATAATAATAATAATAATTTATCAACAGCTCTGTTAGGTTACATGCAACACTCAACACTAATGAACCTGCAACACTCAACACTAATGAACCTGCAACACTCAACACTAATGAACCTGCAACACTCAACACTAATGAACCTGCAACACTCAACACTAATGAACCTGCAACACTCAACACTAATGAACCTGCAACACTCAACACTAATGAACCTGCAACACTCAACACTAATGAACCTACAACTCAACACTAATGAACCTGCAACACTCAACACTAATGAACCTGGAACACTCAACACTAATGAACCTGCAACACTCAACACTAATGAACCTGCAACACTCAACACTAATGAACCTGCAACACTCAACACTAATGAACCTGCAACACTCAACACTGATGAACCTGCAACACTCAACACTAATGAACCTGCAACACTCAACACTAATGAACCTGCAACACTCAACACTAATGAACCTGCAACACTCAACACTAATGAACCTGCAACACTCAACACTAATGAACCTGCAACACTCAACACTAATGAACCTGCAACACTCAACACTAATGAACCTGCAACACTCAACACTAATGAACCTGCAACACTCAACACTAATGAACCTGCAACACTCAACACTGATGAACCTGCAACACAACTAATGAACCTGCAACACTCAACACTAATGAACCTGCAACACTCAACACTAATGAACCTGCAACACTCTACACCAATGAACCTGCAACACCAACCAACCTGCAACACTTAATACCAACCTACAACACTAAACACCAACCTACAACACTCGACAATCTGCAACACTCAACACCAACCTGCAACACTCAACACCAACCTGCAATACTAAACGCCAACCTGCAACACCTAACACCAACCTGTAACACTCAACATCAACCTGCAGCACTCAACACCAACCTGAAACACTGAACACCAACCTGCAACACTCAACACCAACCTACAACACTCACAACCTGCAACACTCAACACTAATCTACAACACTAAACACCAACCTGCAACACACAACACCAACCTGCAATACTAAACGCCAACCTGCAACACCTAACACCAACCTGTAACACTCAACAACAACCTGCAGCACTCAACACCAACCTGAAACACTGAACACCAACCTGCAACACTCAACACCAACCTACAACACACAACCTGCAACACTCAACACTAATCTACAACACTAAACACCAACCTGCAACACACAACACCAACCTGTAACACTCAACACCAACCTGCAACACTCAACACCAACCTACAGCACTCACAATCTGCAGCACTCAACATCAACCTGCAGCACTCAACACCAACCTGCAACACTCAGTCCCCTCAAGGGAGGTTTCTTGACGTTGGTGAGGGGATCTTGATCTAGGGAATAAGACCTGTGCTCCAGTTCCCTGAATTAAGCCTGAATACCTTCCATCCCCTCCCCCACAGGATTTTAATAATAATGCAACGCTCAACACCAACCTACAACACTAACACCAACCTACAACACTAACACCAACCTACAATACTCGATACCAACCTATAACTCAGCATCAACCTACAACACTCAACACCAACCTACAACACTCAACACCAACCTACAACAACATGCAGCGCTCAACACCAACCTACAACAACCTGCAACACTCAACACCAACCTACAGCAACCTGCAACACTCAACACCAACCCACAATACTAAACACCGACCAACCCTTAACACTCAACACCAGTCTGTAACACTCAACACCAACCTGCAACACTTAGTATCAACCGGCAACACTCAGCAACATGCAACACTCATATGACTCCAAATACAGTATTTTGACCCCTGTTGATGGGAAAACTTTAACTTCTTAAATGAGAAGTAATGTTGATTTGATTGAAAGATTACACTCAAACATAAGTGACTGTGAGCTATTTACCTCTGCTGTTATAGTCTTGTTTGCTAAGGTTCCTAGGAGCGCCCTCTGCTGCTGCAGCAGCAGCATAACGTGTCTTCATGTAAATGTGTGTGTGTGTACTCACCTATTTGTGGTTGCAGAGGTCGATACATAGCTCCTGGTCCCGCCTTTTCACTGATCGCTACTAGGTCCTCTCTCTCCCTTCTCCATGAGCTTTATCATACTTTGTATTAACACTGTGTATGGTTCCTGCCTCCACTACGTCACTTGCCAGACTATTCCACTTCGTGACAACTCTGTGACTAAAGAAATACTTCTAACATCTCTTTGACTCATCTGAGTCTTCAACTTCCAATTATGACCCCTTGTTTTTGTGTCCTATCTCAGGAACATCCTGTCTCTGCCCACCTTGTCAATTCCTCGCAGTATTTTGTATGTCGTTATCATGTCTCCCCTAACTCTCCTGTCCTCCAGTGTCGTCAGGCCGATTTCCCTTAACCTTTCTTCGTAGGACATCCCCCTTAGCTCTGGAACTAGCTTTGTTGCAAACCTTTGCACTTTCTCTAATTTCTTGACGTGCTTGACCAAGTGTGGGTTCCAAACTGGTGCTCCATACTCCAGTATGGGCCTGACGTACACGGTGTGCAGATTCTTCAACGATTCCTTACTGAAGTATCGGAACGCCATTCTTAGGTTTGCCAGGCGCACATATGCTGCAGCAGTTATCTGGTTGATGTGCGCCTCAGATGTGCTCGATATTATATTCACCCCAAGATCCTTTTTCTTGAGTGGGGTTTGCAGTCTTTGGCCACCTAGCCTATACTCTGTCTGCGGTCTTCTTTGCCCTTTCCCGATCCTCATGACTGCATTTGGCGGGGTTAAATTCGAGGAGCCGGTTGCTGGACCAAGCTTCCAGCTGGTCCAAAGTCTCTTTATAGTCCTGCCCGATCCTCATCCAATTTAATTCTCCTCATTAACTTTGCATCATCTGTGAACAGTGACACTTCTGAGTCTATGCCTTCCGTCATATCATTCACATATACCAAAAATAGCACTGGTCCTAAGACTGACCCCTGTAGAACTCCGCTCGTCACAGGCACCCACTCTAATACCTCGTCACGTACCATGACTCGTTGTTTCCTCCCTGTCAGGTATTCTCTGATCCATTGCAGTACCCTACCTGTTATGCATGCCTGATCCTCTAGCTTTTGCACTAATCTCTTGTGAGGAACTGTGTTGAAGGCCTTCTTGCAGTCCAAGAAAATGCAATCTACCCACCCCTCTCTCTCGTGTTTTACTTCTGTTACCTTGTCATAAAACTCCAGAAGGTTTGTGACACAGAATTTGCCTTTCATGAATCCGTGCTGGTTGTCGTTTATAAGTTTGTTCCATTCAAGGTGCTCCACCACTCCCCTCCTGATAATCTTCTCCATGACTTTGCATACTATACACGTCAGGGACACTAGTCTATAGTTTGTGCCTCGTGTCTGTCTCCTCTTCCATATGTCAGGTAGTTGCCCAATTTCAATGGATATGTTGAAAATTGTTGTAGTGGCACACACAGCATCTCTGCTCCCCCTTTAAGGACCATGGAGAGATGTCCAGTCCCACTGCCTGTGAGGTATCAAGGTCACTCAGCAGCTTCTTAACCTCCTCGGTTGTGTGTATTTCATCCAACACTTGTTGGCGAACTCCTCTGTTCTGACTTCATTATCTTTGTAATTTGCCATGATTGTGACCAGATCTACCTGGAGTTCATTACCTTTGTAACTAGTTCAGCTATCATAACTTTGGGGTCCAGTTCCTGGACCCATTATGTACCTTTGTAATCTTTTGACTACCGCCCACAGGATGGGTATGGGGTGCATAATAACGATATTAAACTAACTTCTGACTTCCCAGAGTCCTTTCTGTCTTCACTGTAAATACCTCCTTAAATCTCATGTTGAGCTCCTCACATACTTCTTGGTTGTTTCTTGTGAGCTCTCCACCTTCTTTCCTTAGCTTGATTACCTGGTCCTTGACTGTTGTCTTCCTCTTGATGTGGCTATACAACAGCTTTGGGTCAAACTTGACTTCTGATGCTATGTTGTTTTCGCACTATCGCTGGGCTTCTCTCCTTATCTGTGCACACTCGTTTCTGGCTCTTCAACTAATCTCTTTATTTTCTTGGGTCCTTTATCTTCTGTGCTTTTTCCATTCTCTAGTGCACTTAATTTTTGCCTCCCTACACCTTTGGGTAAACCAAGGGCTCGTTCTGGTCTTCCCATTATTTCTGTTGCCCTTGGGAATAACCCTCCCCTCTGCCTTCTTGCATTTTGTTGTTACGTAGTCCATTTCGTTTACTGACTGTCCTACCAATTGTCTTCCCCACTGAAATTCCTGCAGGAAGGTCCTCATACCTGTGTAGTTTTCCCTTTTGTAGTTTGGCTTTTCCCATCCTACTCCTGTTACCCTCTCCACTTGTAACTATGTATTCAAAGCTCAGAACCACGTAATCACTAGCTCCAAGGGGCCTTTCATACGTGATGTCCTCAGTGTTCGAGCTACTCAGGGTGAACACAAGGTCCAGTCTTGTTGGTTCATCCTCCCCTCTCTCTCTAGCAGTGTCCCTAACATGTTAATGCAGTACCACATCCATTATTTTGGCTCTCCATGTTTTGGGACCCCCATGTGGCTCCAGGTTTTCCCAACCAATCTCCTTATCATTGAAATCGCCCATAACTAGTAACTTCGCTCTACTCACGTGAGCTCTTCTTGACACCTCAGTGTGTCCACCATTGCTCTGTTGCTCTCTTCATATTCTTCTCTTGGCCTCCTGCAGTTCTGTGACGGGTTATTCATCACTGTGTGTGTACTCACCTAATTGTGGTTGCAGGGGTCGAGACTCAGCTCCTGGCCCCGCCTCTTCACTGACCGCTACTGGGTGTGTGTGTGTGTGTGTGTGTGTCGTGCCGAATATGTAAAACTTGGAATTTTGGCTTAAATACCAACGCTCTTCTTGCCGAATAAGTCAAGCGAAAATTTGTGTACGCAATAATTTCGCAAAAATCAGTCTTATAGTGCTAGTAGCACCCCTGCTTTTCATTGGGGGGATATTGCACCGCCTACCGAGTCTATTGCTTTCACAGGGAGTGATTTCAGATATTTCACCTACCTTGAAAGGCGCTGTTATATGCAAAAAATCGCGAACACCCGATGAAAGATACAAAACAACCACGGGGGAAGTTGGAAGATAACTCAAGGCCTAGGTTTTCGTGTTGCAATCGACACATCAGGAGCCTGCAATGTTGCAAGTAAGAGGATAAAATCTGAGCAAACACGTTCAGAGCACATAATGGTGTAGGGCGTGACAATAGTCCATCTGGCAGAGTTTACGTTTAGTTATGTCTACATGAGCTGGTGGTGTAACTTCCTGGACCTGGTGGTACTTTTAACCCATCCGAAGCTGGGCAGTAGTGACATAACATCAAGAGTGCTAATTTTATCCCCCTGCATAAGAGAATGCTGATAAACTGACTGGTGTCAGTCTTCCTCGGTCTTAAGTCCATGGCGTTTACCTGAAGTTATTTTTCATATTATTGTTCTAAAACTATTAGTTGACAGCCCAAGATTAAAATATGCTCCCTCCTTGAAGACATGTGCCTTTGAGATCGACACCATGCCCAGCCCTTCTAGGGCAGGCTAGGTGCCTGAGCCAGAGCTTGCAGCTCACAAGACTGTCATTCCCATCAGCCCCCTTGGGGCGGGGATGGCAGATCAGAGAGGCCTAGCTTCTCCCTACGAGCCCCGTGAGGGCGGGGAATGTGGCTAGGCCTGGGGACAGTTGGTCCCAACGATGAGGGGGTACTTGTACCTCCTCCCATGGGAGACTTAAGTCTCAGACACTCCCTCGACAGGGAGAAGGGAGTATGGCAAATAGTTCATTTTGAAGGATAGAAGCTCATTTATTGATACGGGCTCCACTTTCTATATGGAAACCATAACTGCACGACAACAACGACACTTACCAGCTACACCAGTGGGTTGGTGAACAGAGTCATCAACATGCATTAATTATGCAAGAGAGTACTGTGACTAAAGCATCATTACCATTATATTTGGCTTTAAAATGAAGCTTTGGTTGTGATTTAATAAGGTTCTTTGGAGGAAAGTGAGGGATGGTGGTTGGGAAAGAGGTAGTCTCCCATGGTGCAGGTAAATGTCACTGTTATCATACTTGACAGAGATTATGTATCTGTTTCATTGTCAGGTCATTTCTTGTTTTATAATTCTTTGGGAGAAACGTTCACCGGTGCTAAAGAAATTTTTGATATACCTTTGATGAGTTCCGAGAGTCTTTTACTTCCGGAGCCCGGCCAAGGTTTCTGTGCAAGGTTAGAATGTATTTTCATGATTATATTAACACCACTGAGGACATTTCTTTCAGTGACACGATCTCTAATGTTTGAAATATCTAGTTTTTTTCCGCATGTTTAGGATTTTGACTATACGTGGACATCAAAGGACGATCCTCCTATCTTCATTTTGCAATTTTTCAAGCCTCTCCAATCTTCCAGTCTGACACAAGAGCAGGTAAGGGTGCAGCATGGTCAACCAATAATCTATTGTAAGCAAAATACATAATTTTCACATTAGAACCGTACTTAGGATGAAACCCTGCAACAGCTCGAAGTGCTTTCATCCTCCTCGTGCATTGCCGACAAAGTTTTGTTACAAGTTCAAGTAGTGTGACCTCAAAGCCTAGATACCTGTATATAGTTACATCTTTGAGCCGTGTCCAATCTTGCAACTAGATTCTGAGGACTGTTTCTCTTTGTCGGAAGGACACCTGATAACTATCTTCGTTTTCACCGCAGAGATGATTAACCACAGGTCCTGACGCGAATCAATTACATGGTTAAAAATATTATGGGAGCTGGACAGTCCGGTGGTGTGAATCATTATATCATCAGAAAAGTGGTCATATAATGATTGGACTAGCAAGGCATGAAAATTATTAAAGCATTAATTATAATATTGAGTAAGGTGGAACTATCGACACCTCTGTGGGTTCCTAAGTCAGGTAGCCTTTAATTAAGCGGAGAAGTCATCCTCCTACATACATTCCGGCAAGTTCATTAATGATTACATGTTGGTTAGGTATATCAGAGGCAGAATTAAGGTCAAGGAAGGCACAATGGGAGCTGCCAGTGTGCAGGGTGAGAAAGGTGGTTATGCCTTCCATGTGTGAAACCTCACAGCCTGGGAGACAATGATTGTTTAATTCTACGCATGAGACGATTTAGAATCATCTTTTCAAATGTTTCATATGAGCAGCTAGTAAGAGATATTGGGCGAAATGCATTTTCTTGATTGGGTTTTGGAATAGGAAAGATGAGACTATTTTTCCATGATTTAGGGAGCTCCACGTATACACAGCTCATATTCTGTAGTTCAGGTAAAAAAAATTCCTGGTACTGGACAGAACTCTAAATATGTTGTAAGTATTACTACCTTTCCCAGACAACGTGGATTTGCCTTTAATTAGTGCAGCATCGATCTTAAACTTAATGAAAAGAATGTTGCACTCATCTTCCTTGCTGAACATCGTGTTTGGGCATTAATTTCATCTGTGTAGTAGTGGGTAGATTGTTATAGCTTTACGTAGCAGTTCAAGCAGTGACTTAACTCACTGACTCAGTACAGAATGAGGGTGTGTCACCTAACCAGTCTTGTTACCCTTATTTCCATTTATATCCCTTCATACCCTGTCAAGGGGGTGTGGACATTGAGGAAATTGACAATTTTTTCAAGAAACAAAAAAATCGTAATAATTAAAAATTTTCATGAGGTACGAGGACTTTAACCGGGAGGGGGGGGGGGCAGGAAATTACGCCGTGAAAAACTATTAAATATTTCCATTTTCTGTAAAGTCACGACAACAGAAAACAGTATCTTAACTAGCACATGCTTATTAAAAGCAAACGAGAGGGGCGAGGAAAGATAATAATATAAGATAATATTTGTTCGAATTTTTAACCTAGAGAGTTAGCCACCCATGATAACCCAAGAAGCTCAACGCGTCATCGAGGACTCACTTTTATTTCCATTGGAACCATTTAATCTTGTGTCCCAGGGTGCTACTCACACCAGTCGACTAACACCCAGGTATCTACTTATTGCTAGAGAGAAAGAGAGAAGGGAGATAGCGAGAAGAGACAGAGAGAAGGGAGACAGACACTTGATTCAGAGAGTTAGTAACTCAGGATAACCAATGAGTAATAAATACAACTTATTTCCATTAGTGTAAAGGGTTCCCTTCCCCAAGATGCGACCCCACAATAGTCATCTAACATCCAGGTACCTCGTATCACAGTTCGGCTCATTACCGAGGGGGCTATGGGGTCGAACCCAACGTAAGGCGGGATATATGGGACAGCATTCTAATAGATGGTCATTTATTACCTGGAAATTAAATAAATGCCTAGGATTTAGTCGACGTAGCATTCCGGGAGGCTGGGAGAGGGGGGTAATCCTAAAAGGACCCCAGTGGAAATAAGCCACAATGATCGGGATTAATACCCCTTAAGGGAGTTTCCTTGACGCTGGTGAGGGGGCTCTTGATCTAAGGAATTGGATCTGTTCTCCAGTTCCCTAGATCTTGGCTGCGCTTCTTCCAAGGAATTGGATCTGTTCTCCAGTTCCCTAGATCTTGTCTGCGCGTCTTCAACTGCCCCAGGCTCGAACCTGGGTCTTTCGGTTGGGAGACACAAACCATTAAGATTAATTAGACATCCTTAGGTTATTGATCCCAAGATAATTATTAATCAAAGATAGCCCAACACAGTTAACTATGGCTAATTTCTCTTGGGATCTTTCTCTTGGATGTGACTTACAACAGCCGACTAACTCCGTGGTACTTATTTACTGTTAGGTAAACAGCAGCAGCTGGTATAAGGGAAGGAGATTTTATAATATTTTGCCCACCTATCCTCCCAAGAAATTAATGCATAATCCCCAACTTCCATTACTTTCTAAAGTCAGTGCTCTGGAACACTTACACGACAAGATAAGATAAGATTTCATTCGGAATTTTAACCCCGGAGGGTTAGCCACCCAGGATAACCCAAGAAAGTCAGTGCTTCATCGAGGACTGTCTAACTTATTTCCATTGGGGTCCTTAATCTTATCCGACCTATGGACAAACAGTACTATCACCCAGACTATGCTGAGGGTTCCCTTATTCCTGACTGGGAGGGCCTGATGGTACTATAATACAGAGGTGTATTAGAATTAATCACTGGGCTTCCACGTTACAAACTGTGAGCTGTTTGCCATACTTGTTCTCAAGCTTGTGGAAGCTACGACTGCACACACTGTAATTTTAACTGACTCTTTCCTACCTGGAGGGTATTCCGGAGATCAACGCCCCCGCGGCCAGGTCCACGACCAGGCCTCCCGGTGGATCAGGGCCTGATCAACCAGGCTGTTACTGCTGGCCGCACGTAGTCCAACGCACGAACCACATTACTTTCTATAAATAGCCTGAAACCTGAATGTAGCATGCTTATGTATGAAGCCAGGCAGATTTACTCAAATTATTAAGAAAGGGATTATAGTTAAACTTTTGTTGATTTCATGTCATTCCTGGATTGCGTGCAGCTAGCAGTAACAGCCTGGTTGATCAGGCTGTGATCCACCATGAGGCCTGGTCACGGACCGGGCCGCGGGGGCGTTGACCCCCGGAACTCTCTCCAGGTAAATTCCAGGTAGGCCTCCGGGAGTATGACAAAGTTGACGAATTAGCTAAACAATCATTAAATAAAAAGAATGTTGAGTATAATTTTGTCTTTCAAACAAAAGTTTACTAAACGTCGTTGGAAAGGAACTAGGAAACGAGCGTGAAGAAATTAGAACAGTACAGATAGGAACTAGCAGATTCTTTATCCACCATAATAAAATGTGTCAAATTAAACATCTACAGGAGAAGGTACAAAGATTAGTAGACTGCAAGAGGCTGTTACTGATAGACTTAGGGTGGGCTATAAGTATCTCGAGCAGTACGGTTTGTATGAAGATGTTAATGAGATAAAGTGCAAAGTGTGTGGACAGAGACACGGTCATACACTCAAACATTATGTCTTAGAGTATCCAAACATCCAACATTTCTGAGAGACCTCCATATATATCTTACAGGATATGGTAAAGTATTTTATCATTAATGGTAAGATATCTGAAATCTTGAGGTTGTATCCACGTTTTGCATCGACTAGATGAATGAACTGTTTTTATAGAGATTGTAACCCAGTTATGACCATTTATTTAGTGGTAATATCTATTATTTATAATGTATTCCATGCTGTATTGTGCACATCAACTATCTGAAATAATTACAAAATAAGTAATGGCTAATTTTTCTTCATAGTGATGTAACATTGCTCAGTGGGGTCTAACAAAGACCTATTCTGACATGTAATCCTGTTTTGTAGCGCTACCTCTCACAGGATGAGCATGGGGTGCACAAACTAGCGCTCAGGCGTCACAGCATAAAGAAAGGAGATCAACCTATACGTTTCGTCTCTTTCTCGCCCAGTAAATACACACCTGGGTTTCGTGGACCCTATAGGATGTTCACCACCATGAAGGCTATGTATACAGTAAAGCTATTATTCCAGCGTCTGTTAGCTGTAACCATCTCTGTTGTAACTATCTCAACGATGCAGCGTTCGGCTCATATCTGAAAGGACTTGGGTTTAATCTTCGTCGGGGCGAGGAAACTGGGCAAGCCATTGTTCACCTAACAGTAAATTGATACCCATGTGTTAATAGACTGTTGTGGGTGACATCTTAGGGAATGGCCTAAGGACTCCAACGAAAATAAGAAACGCTCCTTGGTTTTTTCGGATTATCCTGAAGTATTAACGCCTCTGGGGTTACTAATCCAAATAAAATCTTTTAGCCGTCAGAGCTTAATAATGAAAATAACGTTCTTGTTTTTCAGCCATTTATGGGGCGTCAGCACAAAGGAGTGGGCCCAGAAAAGCAGTAACCATGTAAATCGAAACTGAATGTTGAAAATTGTCAGGTGTGTCAGGGTATTAGACCTAACTTGACCAAAGGAGACGAAGACGGACGATGTACTATCGCTGCGCGAAACTTCTCCCCAGCAACCTGGTCAATAGAGATGGATTCTCCCTAGCTATGATGTGAAAATTATACATATGTTTACCTGACAGCAAAACGGTCGCCAGCTGTCGTCAGGAACCCATTTGATTATATTTATCATCACTAATACCGTGCCGAATTGGCTCAAGTCGGATATCAGTGATAATAGGCCTGAGCATTATTTACAAATCCAGAGTGGGCAGTATATTATCAAGTAGGGGGATATCTTAATGATCATTAATTCTTTTATAGTTATCAATCATGCTTTACGAATCTCATACACTTATAAATTGCCTCATTCATCTTATGTGCTATATCAAAACCAAAATTTCGCAAGGGAATTTTACAGGGATTGTTGCTTTAGACCTACAAAAGGCCTTTGTTACAATGAACCAAGATATATTAGGTAAAACAAACTACAAGCTATTAGCATAGGCTCTGTAGACTGGTTCAAATCTTACCTGAACAACAAAACATAAATTGTTAAAGATAAAAATACGGACTCGGAATTCTTGCTGACATCGTGGGAGCTCCACGAGGAAGTATCTTCAGCCTTCTACTATCTTATGTTACTTAAGTGATATACTCATTAGGATTAAATGTAAACACCTGTTATATGCTGATGACTGCGTTCTTTAGTATCAGATAAACACCTAAAAGATATAGCTAAAATGTGAACGTCGAAACTGAAGTCATGCAGACGGTGGTTAATAGTCATCTTGAAGACTAATCTGTATTATACTGGTTTGGGGCTAATTTTCGAAGCTACTAATAATGAATTAGATCAAATACAATCTAAGCAGAGCAAATGATTATTTTAAGGTAATGTGCAACGAAAGAATATGCAGTGAATATGCAGTTGAGAAGTGAATATCTTAGTGTATATACAAAGAGAGGAATATATCTCAACAAATACACACTGAGATTTTATATCCTAAAACAGAAATTCAGATATTCGTGATTTAGTTTCCAGGTGAACTGGAGCGTTAATGAGTATTAGTGTGTCTGACCAGACCAATGACTAGAGTGTTTGACTCACAGCTAAAAGGATCTGGATTCGGTCCCTTGAAGAGACGGATGTGACATTCTTTTGATGTCCCGGGAAATGAAAACGTGGATGCTGAGGCAACGTCTGCTGTTTCGAGCTCACTGTTTAACAGATATTTGCCTCAGTGGCTTTATGTGGCACACATGGTTATGTCCTTGGAAAGTAACAAACCCAGTAGGTCCTACAAACAAGGATCAAGTTATATAGGGTTCAGTGAGCTTGGGAAGCTTCGCGCTCCATCAGCAATAATCGTCACTTACAGATGAACCAGCTGACTGAGGAGTGAGTATAAACATCTCACCCATAACCACCTGTGTATGTATCATGTGGCATGCAGCTAACTCTAAGATACATTTTAAATGATTGACTACAATTAGACCTTTTCACTTTCGCCGTGGTTTTTATAATTACCTTTGTGCCTGTGCGAATCTCTGGGAGCTTTTAGAAAAATCTTTAAGCACAGACAATTTAATGAGATTTTTAACTGACACCGGTTATTTTGATTTGGTACAAGAGAATTTATTTGTCTGGTGTGTGTTGTTCATGCTAAAAATTATTTATTTTTGTTTAATTTTACATTTTTTTATGTGCGTTGTATTTTTTATTACTGTCCAAGAACTTTTCAAACCTCGCAACAGCCTATCTAAGAGAGAGACCAGACGCATTGGCAGTTTTCCTTATACCTGCTGCCCGGTTCATCTAGCAGTAACTAGATACCTGGGTTTTAGATATAAAAGTCGGAAATTCATCGAGTTGAAATATATGCTACGTACTGAAAGTTTATACTGCTCGAATACGAGATATTGAAAGGGAAGGATTTGTGAAGGGTAGCGTGCAAACCTTGTGCTGTGTAAACACTTCGCCCGTCACAATTACTCTTCGTGTATTCCTGATTTAATCGGAATTATTTACATAGAACATGCACGAAAATATATAATATATATGCTGACATGCACTTATTTTATTTCACGTACGCCTCTTCCTACAATATTTCTGGGTTTTTTTCCGGAATATTTCTGAAATTATGATCACAGTAGGTTAACCAAGCTAAAAAATGTAAGGTGATGGGTAAATGTTTGATAGCTGTCATCATTACCACAACTTCAGAGTATCCCAACCTATCATGTACGTGCTGTAAAGTTGTGATACCTAAATACTTATGAAATTTATATGTTTACAGTGAATCCCTATTTCGTCTTATACCCTTCAAGGGCAGTGCCTGTATGATGGAATTGGAGCTACCCTTCTTCAGGTAAACCTAATGGGAGCTACCCTCTCTCAGGTAAACCTGATGGGAGCTACCCTTTCTCAGGTAAATCTGATGGGAGCTACCCTTTCTCAGGTAAACCTGATGGGAGCTACCCTCTCTCAGGTAAACCTGCCTGGCTCCCAGTTCCTGGAAGTTGTGACTCTTTTTGTGTTTAGTGCTTACCATTCACTATAATAATAATAACAACAACAACTTATGCTTCTAGGTTGGTGTGTGCGACAGGAAATACGTTGTAGGTGTTCGCAGCTTTGCCATTGAACACAAGGCCGTCCCACGACAAAGCCTTCAGTATGTCGCGTGGCAAAGAAAACTCAAGGAGCTTTCCCTCAGATACACTCTCGGACCTGCCCAGTGCACTTCTCAGTTCGGATGTTAACGTGGGAGCTTCCACCTCCAGAAGTTCAAGTACCAGCATTGGCGTCGGTGGAAGGCGAGAGGCCACTTTAGGTGTCAATGTGGGAGCCTCCACCTCTAGGAGCTGCAGTAGCAGCATGACTGGCGTGGCTCAGAGTGTACCTGCGTCAGCCTTGTCAGGAGCACAGTGGGCGACGCGCAGTGACAGGTTAAAAACACGTGTTTAGTAAGACCCTGCATCAATAAAAGTAAAAGTAACAGTACTGTGACTGGAGCAGTTCACAACTAACCCGCATGTGAGAAATTACCTTCATGAGGTTTACAGGGTATTTCCTAATTTATTACATGCAAATAATTTGGGTGAGGTATAAGGGACTTAGTCATAGTAGGTCACAGAACTGCCACTCTTTCGATGCCCACTCCTACATCACTCACAAAAAAAAAGCTTGACCTGACATTAAATTACATTATTATACATGATTATATACACCTGGAAAATCCTAGAGGGACTAGTACCGAACTTGCACACGAAAATCACTCACTACGAAAGCAAAAGACTTGGCAGACGATGCACCATCCCCCCAATGAAAAGCAGGGGTGTCACTAGCACGTTAAGAGACCATACAATAAGTGTCAGGGGCCCGAGACTGTTCAACTGCCTCCCAGCACACATAAGGGGGATTACCAACAGACCCCTGGCAGTCTTCAAGCTGGCACTGGACAAGCACCTAAAGTCAGTTCCTGATCAGCCGGGCTGTGGCTCGTACGTTGGTTTGCGTGCAGCCAGCAGCAACAGCCTGGTTGATCAGACTCTGATCCACCAGGAGGCCTGGTCACAGACCGGGCCGCGGGGGCGTTGACCCCCGGAACTCTCTCCAGGTAAACTCCAGGATAGTAAATTATAAAATAGTGTGGACTGTATGAAAATTAAAGGAACTGATCTCCAATAATGATTAATGGGAACACTAATACACATTGACATGGTTAGAATTTTCTAATTGACACCAGGCACATATGTACCAAAAGTTAGATAATTAAGAAATTTGTATTACCACTTACCATTTATATTGTAGTTGGATCACACCACAAAGCCTACCTAACGAATAGAATTCTACTGGCTGGCGAGAAATCTAAATGAAAGGATAATGGCATACATACTGGATGTATTGCATGGCAACACCTCATTATTTCCACTATCATCACCTAACTCTGGAGGCCCCACAAATTTTCTGTCCCTATTCTTCAGCAGGGGACATTCCACTTCTTATTAATTATAGTTTGAGGCCAATCCAATCAATTATGGCCTCGATTATGCTGGATTACTAGACGATTTCACCACAACCAGTGCTCACGCATTAATTCATTATGACATCTCCCCTACACACCCAACTTCACACAAAATTTCTTAAACGATCAAATCAGCATTACATTTTATACACAATTATTATATTCACATTTACACATGCTGAATTTAGGAAAATTTAAAAAAAATCCGTACCGCACATTTGAGATGAAAAACTAGTTTCAGTTTGATCTAAATTCTAAGTTGATAATGGGGCAGGGTGGACCAAAAAGTTGTTCGCTCTGCACTTCAGTTTTGTTAAATGTTTGTGAATGGTACCTTTATAGTGCATAACCTGTCCATTTAACTGTGTTTGTTATCAGTTATGTGGATTTACATTCTTACCTGCTTGTCTCATTACAGATTGTATAAGAGATATGAAGAAAATACTACCTATAAAATTACTGTGAAATGACCCACTTGTTTCTATAATTTGGAGCTCTTCATATGTTAACTATCTTAGTTACACAATCCTATGAATAAAGAGAAGAATGGACGGGGACTCAGACCGTGGTCCTTGAGTGTTACAGGCCCAGGTGTGTGCTATTTAGTCACAAGTGAAAATTTAATTATTTTATAACCGGCACTGTTGGTTGTAAAATAATTTTATTTTAACCTTTGTAGGTGAATGGTACAGCACTGGGCATGCCACACACATGAACCAATGTTCGAGTTCCCTTCCATTCTTCTGTTTATTTACTGACAGTTGTTCATTATGACTTATCCTGGGTTAATACACTGTCGTATGTTAAGAGGGTCCGTCTAAAATCCGCCTTGATTAGAAGTAGCTACCTTTTTTTTTCTTTAACACCGGTCGTCTCCCACCTGAGGAATGTTGAACCTTCCCCACCCCCACCCCCACCCCAAAATAAGGAAACTGTGTTACACTTATGTTGGTGTGAGGTAAGTGTTACACTTGTGCTAGTGTGAGGTAAATGTTACACTTGTGCTAGTGTGAGGTAGGTGTTACACTTGTGCTAGTGTGAGGTAGGTGTTACACTTGTGTTCATACGCTGAGCTAAACTTGTATGCACAGAAGGTGTACAAGTGTTTTTCAAGGATTAAGAGACATGTTAGGCCTGAATCGGTATTATGAATGAATAACTTTCATTGGTTTACATTGGTGAGAATATACATAATGTATGGAGCATCAGTAGTTCAGTTAAACCGAGTTTATTTTAAATACACATTAGAGTACTGCTGTGTTTGAAGGAACGTATGCACACCATGTTATGTAATGTTGGTAGTATAATGAACACAGTTACTGGAGGCTGGGAAACCAAGGTGGAGACATTAATAATAATAAAGCAAGAAATGAACATTAGGATGTACGTTTCTACTTTTAACTTTTCTGTTGAAGAGGATCTCAGTAAGAGGTTTAAATATGCGCACCTCTTCATTTTTTGTTTCAAATGTACAGTGCTAGTGGCGAAAATCAAAGGACTGCCGTACAGGGGGTCTTTTTTCATCAGTGCATTATGACGGGTAGCAGCTGTTAGCATGAAGTCACGGTGTTGCGTGAGTGCCTTTGGAGATATGCCGGTTGAAGAATACACATAAAGATGGTTGTTAACTTATATTGACAGAGTCTTGTGAGGGGAAGCCCATACCTATATGTCTCGCCTATGCCTAGTCTGGAACTGAGAGGGAGGCCTGCAGGCAAGCTCTCACATGCGCGGCTATGTGACGTCACAGCTGGCCACTGAGCCTAACTGGACAGGGAGCCTATATATAATACAGCTGGTTACTATATATATATATATATATATATATATATATATATATATATATATATATATATATATATATATATATATATATATATATATATATATATATATATACTAGACACGTAATATGGGTAATCAGTGACACTGCCGACAACAGCCTGCCGCCACACTCCACAGTGACTCCTCAGTGCTCACGTGGCTGCCATGGTGAGAGGAAGTGTTGCACTTTTGTCTTTCATATGCCCCATCTTTTGTCCGGTGTTCCCTTTGGTTTTGGGACTATACATGTTTGATTATGGGTAAAAGGAAGTCTTTAACACCTGAGCTCAAGTCACAGGGCTTCACAAAGCTTGGCACTAGACAAAAGAAATAGTGGAGAATGTTGGTGTGTGTGACCGTTCAGAGAGGACCTGGGTGCAGCCTTCAAGGCTGGTAGAGGTGTCGAGTTACCATGTGCCAAACCTCGGCCTGGCCCTTCGAAGAAGACATCTGTTCGTACCTTAACTGTTGAAGAAGCAGTTAGAGTACTCCTAAGATAACTGCTGGAGAACTGAATGAAAAGAACCCACATCTTCTCTCAGAGGTGTCTGTAAGAACTGGTAACAGACATGTGTCAGAACTGGGGTACAGTAGTCACTGCCAGGTTAAAAAACCGATCCTCTCGAAGCCACAGAAGAAACGTAGTCTGGATTATGCAAAGAAATATCTTCACTGGAATCCTCAACAGTGGTCTGAAGTACTTTGGAGTGATGAAACAACCTTCACCATCACCTGTAACCGTGGGGGACATGTGTACCGGCCCAGAGGTAGTGACCTGTAGGACCACCAAACACCCAAACTCTCTCATGGTTTGGGGGTGTTTCAGTGCTCAGTGTTGGTGAACTCATTGTGCTTCCCAAAAGCCAGTATATGAACCAGTATAATTACCTGGAGTTATTGTGTGACAATTTACCTGAGGCGTTTGACAAGTGTGGGGCTACGGTTTTTATGCAGGATGGTGCACTGTGTCATACTGCCAAATCTGTAGTTTAGTGGCTTAAGGACTGTGAAGTGAGGTTCTTTAATGACTAGCCAGGCAATTCCTCAGACCTAAACTCTATTAAGAACCTCTGGTCAGTAGTGAAACAAAGTTTACTGGGCAAGGGTATCAATTCCATCCTGCAGCTGGAGGCTGCTCTACATGAGGCATGGAATAATATACCTCCCTAAACCCGCAAGAATTTGTGAGAGTCTTCCTACATGGCTGAGAGACGTGATTAAGCGTAAAGAATGCAACACCAAGTATTAAAACCTCAGTAAGTGTGCATATATTATATATATATATATATTATATATATATTATATTTATATATATATATATTATATATATATATATATATATATACATATATATATATATATGTGTGTGTGTGCAGAACAACCACTCTGAAAGAATAGAGAAATTCCAAGTGCTTTCGTGACTACTCACATTATCAAGGAACTATGAAAGTAAAGCATCCAAGGAAGCTATATAAGGGGTCTGGCCAGCACCTCACTATCAGATCCCACAACGGTTAAACACCTGACGCGCGCCGACCCAACTTGGATAGGTCCTTTGCACAACTCACCCCACAAACTATTCTACCCAAGAAATTTTAAAAATTATTTGTTCAGTGTATTATTAAATTCTTCCCAAATTCTATTAATTATAAATGGATCTAATTTATATAAACCAAAGGAAATATTCATATTATTGTCAAAACTGAATATTTCCTTTGGTTTATATAAATTAGATCCATTTATAATTAATAGAATTTGGGAAATTTTTCCTTTTTTTAAATTTTTGGGGTAGAATTGTTGGGGTGATTTTTGCAAAATATCAATTTGGGGGGGGTATTATTTTTTATATTAAAAATTTTTTAAATTTTTTTTATTTTATATTTTAAAAAGGAGTAGTCAGAAAATGTTGGAATTTTTATTCTTAGAGGGTTGTTTTGTTTCTAAATCCCTTTTCATTTAGCAAAATTTTTAATTTTTTTTTTTTTTTTTTTTTTTTTTTTTTTTTGGGGGCCCCCGGGGGGTTTTTCGGGGGCCGGGGGCCCCCCCCCCCCCCCCCCCCCGGGGTATGGGGTGGGTTTAAAAATTTTGTGTTGAGTT